TTTTTATTTTTTATTTATTTATTTTATTTTTTTTGCAGAACCGGGGATTGAACTCAGGCCCTTGTGCTTGCCAGGGAAGCTCTTATTCTACTGAGCCATCTACCCAGCCCTATATGGCTTTTAAATGCTTTCCTTATAAATGATTTGAAAAACTTCAAGTACAGTAGGTCATAGATTGCTTAGAATAAGACATGCCAACTCATTACCCATGGGTCTTTTGTTATTGGGATGACAGCTGACTGCAGGCTCATTTCTATACCCCGCAAATTTCCTGTAATTTGGTTGATCAGTAAATCACTTGCCTCATTAAAAATATCAATTTGAATTTTTCCTGTCTTCCAATAACTACTTGTAATATAATTTTAATTTTAAATCCTTTAACAATATGCACATAATTTCATAAAATTTTAATTTTATTGCCTTATATGATTTAAAACACCAATATTTTGAGCATCCTTTTTCCTCCATAATCTCTGAGACTGAAATGTGGCAGTAAAATGGATGGACTATCCAAATAAAATCAATACTACTTTTTCCCTTTCAGGGACACCTACAGTAATGATAAGCTACAATTAACAACACTGTAGATTTCTAAGTTAAATGTGCTCCATTAGGAGAAGCTCCTATGAGCTCAGTTATAGAAACCCTTATTAACAATGGCTAATGCTTAGGTTGTTGGATTGTTCACTTTCTCTTTATAGAATCAGAGCAAATTTCAGGTGGCACCACCACATTACTCCTGCATGTGAGAGGCTTTCAGAGAGCAGGTGAAGGTGCAAGTGCACCAGCCCTGCCAGGCAGGGCGTAGGGGGCAGCAGCAGGCCAAGTGGGGGTGCTCCTGGAGCCACGGAGCTCACAAAGAGCCTGAAACTGACACCTGGAGATACTAGGGCCTCCTGGTGTATGCTTCCCTTTATGTACTAGGAAAGCAAAAACTACATGCAATTTTTCCCTGCCTCCTGAGCAGTGGGAAGCAGGCGGAGCTGCACAGGAAGGAAAAGCTAAGCAGCTTTCTGCTCCTGGCAGCTTCCAACACATTTTCTAGGAAACAGTTCTTGGGAAGTGGAAAGCAGAGGAAGGGCCCTTCCAGGAACCATACTCAGTGTGGGAGTGGGTGAGGATGTAACACCTACGCTGATGAGCTGTGGTGCGGTCAGTACTGGCATGGCACTGAGGCTCAGCTCTCTCTCAGCCAGCAGCTGCTCGGGCAGCGTCTCCTGGTGCAGCAGGAAACGTTCCTGCTCAGCCATGGCTAGTTTAGGAAGAGAAAGGAGAATGATGTGACTTATACTTCTACTGTGCTGTAAACAAAATACGAGTTTAAAAACAAAAACAGGCATAAAGGTAATTTGACCCTTTTCTAATAGGGATGTTATTATTTTAAATTTTTCTTGACTGCTGACAAGATACACAATATACAACATTCATCTGGTTCAAATCATATGAACCATTATACCAGCAGAAGCAGTGAGGAGCTCAGTGCAGTGGGCAGCACTGTCTCACTCACAAGGCAGGGCTTCAAGCCATGGGAGCACGCTTGTGTGCACGCTCTCTCTGTCTCTCTCTCTCCCCCTCCCTTTCTCCTTTTCTCCCTCTCTGTCTCTGTATTACCCAGGAGTCACCTCCACGGGCAAGGTTCTAGACCTTGTGCCCTGCCTCTGGCTTCTGCCCATAAGCAGGCCCTGGGCTACCACAAAAGCCTCACACTCACAATCACAGCAAGCAGAGTAGCTGAAGCACAGGCATTCCCACTCATTCCACACATCCCTATTTTGCAAACATCACATATAACGTTTTTATGCATTTTCATGCCTGAAAAAGTAGGCTGAGAAACTACATACACACAGCTTTGTCTATTTTCTATAGTTGACAATTATTTACATAACCAAAAAGGTATTCTAAAAAGCCTTCTCCCCTGTGCTTGGACACACTGTAAGAACGGTCTCAGGGAATCAATGTGACCCGAAAATACTCTTCTGTGTTAAGAAGGGAAAAGCTAAATGATGCCAGTTGATGACCAGAACCCTGGTGACACCTGGGGCCAACAGGGAACCATCAAGTTGCCTTCTCTTTCATGCCAGCAGCTGACTCTGCACAGCAGAAAAACGCTTTCTCTAGTAGGCACCACCCACACAAAAATGGAAACGGCTGAAGGAAGATTTGCAAAGCAACGAATTTTAGTAATAAAGGTCAAACGTTGGTACCTGCGATTTGTGAATACTCAGTATATGGAAGCCATTATTCTCAGGAACACATAGTATTCTCAATTTTTATCTTATTTTTTTGAGATTGTTTTCACTATGTAATTCAGGCTAGCCTCAAACTCACAGCTGTTTCAGCTTCCCCAGTGTTGGGATTATAGGCATGCAACACCATGGATCCCGGGTACCGATGTCCCCTCAAATTTTGGGGGGACATTTTTTGAAGCGGGTTTTGCCGTGTAGCTCAGGCTGGCCATGAACTCACTATGTGGTCCAGGCTGGCCTTGATCTCAGGCAATCCTCCTGCCTCAGCATCTCAACTGTTAGCTAGGATTACAGGCAAGCACCACCACACCCAGCTATTCTCGATTTTATTATTATTTTTTTTAATCTTTTATTTACTTGGTACAGGGTCTTGCTAGCAGTTCACTAGCTTGAACTTGTAGTGATCCTCCTGTCTCAACCGCCCCAGCACTGGGATTACAGGTATGCACTGCCACCACACCTGTGTTTCTGGTCGCCCAGGTTTCTGGGTCTGGCATGGCATGGGGTAATGGTGATCATCAACCCCAGGTCCTTGCGCTTGCCAAGTAGGCACTTAGACTGCTGAGCTATCTCCCCAGCCCTAGCCTTATTATTATTATTTTTTTTAATGTATTTGGTACATGATCTCAGTGCACAGCTTGGACTCAGAATGATTCTCCTGTTTTCTGCCTCCCCAGCACTGGGATTACAGGTGTGTGCCACCATGCTCAGACTTTGAGGCTGGATCAGTGCATCCAGAGGCTGGCCCAAAGGGGCCATGGTGCTAGGGATGGAACCCCAGTCCCCATGCTTGCCTAAGCAGGTGCTTAGTCTGCTGAGCTATCTCACTAGCCCTCCTATCCTCAATTTTTTTTAAAAAATGTATTTAGTACAGGGTCTACAGGATCTCACTACACAGATGGGACTCATAGCAATCCTCCTGCTTCTCAGCCTCCCAAACGCTAGGATTACACATGCGCAACACCACGCCCACTCTCAATTGCCCTCTCAGTGTGCCCTGGGTCAGGGCTGGCACAGCAGGCTAGGGATTGAACCCCTAACCCTTGCCTCTGCCTAAAAAGGTGCTTTAATCCCCTATCTGGCTGGCCCCCTATCCTCAATTTTTAAAACTACTTTTACAGAAGAAAAAACTAAGGTTCAGGACAATAACCCAAATATCCCAGTTTATACAGTTAATACTCTAAAGAAGATACTGGAAAGTAGATCCAAATTCTTTTCCTCATATGTCTCAGGTACTTTTCTCTCATTACTGGGACAAATACCCAACACCCAGAATTAAGGAAGGAAAGGTTTATTTAGCTCAGTGTATGGATGTTTTAGTCTATAGTCGGCTGGCTTCAAGGCAGAATGGCACATGGCACAAAGCAGCCATTCACGGCAACGGCAAACGTCAGAAAAGCAAGAGCAAAAGGGAGGAGTAGTGGCAACAGAGAGCAAGTCTGTCTCCCTTATGTTGCACTCAGGCTGTCTGCCCCAGGCTGGGGTGTAGTCCGGCCTATGACTGCATGAGGCTTTAGGGGGACAACTAGACATAAATCATAACATTCTACTACATCCATTTGTTTAAAAAAAAAAAAAAAGTATAGTCATCTGAAAGACCTCAAAGGCTGGACTTTATAGCTAAGATATGCAACCAAATATCTGTGCCTGACCACAGAGCAGACATTCTTTATTTTGAAAAAATTCCAAATCTACAGAAAAATTCTAAAGAACCTGCACTCCTATGTCTTCTACCTAGCCACATGCTGAGCAACACAGGTGCTGATTTATCTCTCCCTCCCATTCCCTATCACGTCACAGATGCAGACATCACGACAGCTCATTTCCCGAACACCTTAGCACTTCTCTCTCAATAATAAAGGCATTCATTCACAACATGATCAGGCTCTCAGAACTCAACATTAACATGACAGTACAAAAGAGTATCATCTAAGTCAAACATAATCAAACTTTCCTAGTTGTCCTGGTAATACTCATCACAGTTGCTTTGAGCAGTTCAAGGATGCTTTGAAATCCGACTAAAAAACTCGAACTGTGTGAGTGTGAGTGTGAGTGTGTGTGTGTGTACGTGCACATGCACATGCTGCACTCATGTGTGTTGGCTTTTAAACTCATCTCATCTAAGGCCACCTGTCTTCCACTACCAGAATACATGAGTGCTCCCTTGTGATTAGATCTGGAGTCACACTGCATGCTACTCACTCCAAGATGAATGTTATGTGGAATTGGCTTAAGATTGGCTCTGGTGCATTACTTCTGGGTACCGATACTCCAAATACCTGCTCCTCCAGTCCTACACTCCATGATTCTAGTATCTTTTCTATGTGAGAAAGGGTCTCACTATGTTACCCAGGCTGACCTCAAACTTGCAATCATTTGCACTGCCATTCCTGGCTCATTGTATTATCTTTTGAAGCCCAATTTATTCACTGTGGTTATAAAACAGCAGCTCCCACCACACCTTTCCACATTTATTAGTTGTCCTTCTTCTGTAAAGGACTTCACTGACTGTTTCCTATTCTGGTTTATCATTGTGGATCTCTGGATTCTTCTTCTGTAAACTATTAAATGTGGTAGAGCTCAGTAGTACAGTGCTTGCTTAACACATGTGGGGCCTGGAGTCTGTCCTCATGCTGACAAGAGGAAAACCAAAACATATGTGATATAGAATCCTTTCACATCACTACTATGACTGTTCAAACTATATTGACTCCTGGACAGTGGGAGCTATTCTGGGTGTTGTGTTCAAAGTCTCAAAGCTACTGAGTCTCAATAGCTCAGTAGAATGTGTTTGCCTGGCAAGTGCAAAGTCCTAAGTTCAATCCCTGGTACCACAAAAAAAAAAAAAAAAAAAAAAAAAAAAGAATTATGAAAATACTGATATGCTTTTGAACTAGAGATAATCAGAATCTGATTTCTTTTCTTTTTTTAGTGTAAGGGTCTGCCCCCAGCCCTAAAACTATTGTACCAATACCACTACCCAGAACCAAACAAAAAGCACAAGTATATAGCCAATTAGCTATGAATGGATGTCAAATAAAGGCCATTCCTCCTACAACAGAGATAGATGAGATGTAGCTGATGGCCTGATCTTGTCATAGGCTTGCTTGTGTAAATTATTTTACCTTCAATTTTTTCCTGCAGTGCATCCTCTGAAAGATCTGAAGCTAATGCAGCCAATTTACTCAGGCCAAGAAGGGTTTTTTTCTTTGCAAAGTAACGAGTTTCCATATTTGCCAAATTCAGAAGTGTTGTATGAGCCTACGATAAACAAACACGTGAACTGTAAGATCCCGGTACCAACACAGTCCTGAAGTAAAAGTTAAGTACACTGCAAACTTTCTTTTTCACTATCAACAAAGTCACATTGATGATTAGTAAACTTGATACTGAGGTTAAGTGAGCAATAGAATCTCAACCACACACACTAATTTTGAAGGGGAAAAGACATGTAAAAGACAGCCATTCTATAACAACTGCACATCTACCCAGTTACCACGTCAAGAACACATTTTAAAATTAGCTTCTTCACTGCTTTTACTCATAATTTGAGTATTAATGTAAGAATGTGTTCTTTACCATAAAAGTCCAAGGACTATTATATGTGTTAGTAAAATGTTTGTGCTTTATTTTATAATAGCAGGCAACGCATATTGGTCTATATAATCTGTGAGATAGTAGGTATGGTGAAAATACTATCATAAATCAAGAATGCCCTATTCAAATTATGGAAGACAATGGGAGTAGACACATATTTAGATAGTTCATAAGCAGTGTTCCTTAAATATTTTTTTAAAAATTCAGTTGTCCTATTATCATTGTGTATTTTTAAGAGAGTCCAAAGCATACAATGCGGAGTGATTAAATAAAACTAGTTAACATCTATCACCTGAAGTACATTTTTGTGGTGGTAATAACCAAAATTTACTCATTGAGCAGGTTTGAAATACACACTACTTTTAACGATAGCCACCTTCTTCCCCACCTACCTGAACCTAGCCTGACCAGCATCTCTCCACTCCCTCACCACCCCTGTAACCACCCTCTCAGTCTGTTTCAAATTCCACATGTAATTGAGACCATGCAGTATATGTCACTCTGTGCCTGGTTACTTCACAGAGCACAATGTCCTCGAGATTCACCCATGCTGTGGCAAATGGCAGAATCTTCTTCTATTTAAAAGCTGAGCAGTATTCCACTGTGTACTTATACACATACATCCTGGTTATCTGTTCACCTACTACTGCTCAGCCTAATTCCTTAAACTGGCTAGCAGAGTGGCACCACAGTGGACACAGCTGAGCACTAGTCTCTCAGACACTAACTTCATACCACCTGGATATGTTCCCAGAAGGAAGCTGTGGGAGCAGATGGTGTTTCTATTTCAAGCTTTTTGTGGAACCTCCATATAGTTCTTCCTAATGGCTGAACTAAGTTACATTCCCACCAACAGTGTGCAAGGGTTCCCTTTATCCACATCTTCATCAATGTCTGTCACCATTCATCTTTTTCATAGGAGCCACTCTGACAGGTATAAGATGAGATCTTGTGGTGGTTTTAATTTGTATAATTTTAGCTATTAATGTTGAGAAAAACTCCTGTTGGCCTTTTGTTTCCTATTCTTTTGTTTCCTTTCTTTTTCAGATTTCTTTGAGGCAGGATTTCCGTATGTAGTCCAAGCTGGTTTGGAACTCACTATGTAACCCAGACAGGGTTCGAACTCACAGCAATCCTCCTGCCTTAGCCTCCCAAGATGTGGGATTATAGATAGCATGCACTATCACACTCAGCCATTTGTTCACCTTTTGAGAAATGTCCACTCAGGTCTTAGCTTATTTCTTAATGGGGTTACATTGTTGAGTTTTTTGTACAGTTTAGTATTAACGCTTTATCATAGTATAGCTACAAATAACATTTTAATTACTGAAAAAAATACTTAAATTGTAAACATCAGCTTCATATAACTGAATCTTTCTTACCTTTACTAATTCTTTATTACTAATTTCATGTAACCAGCTGAGGTGTTCATGAGCTTGCAAAAAATCTGCCAACTGTCCATGTTGTGACAAGGGCTGAGATAATAATTTTCCCCGCTTTCCTTTTTCCAGATACCAACGGAAGAGAAAGTCTGAAAAATTCTACAAATAACAGAACCAAGAATCCATTATTATTTAGTAATACCTTTTAAAATTATGCTTCATATTAGTAGAACACTAGTATCTTCCAAAGACTCTAAGCTACATGTTGTTATTTAAACTAGTAGCAGTAAAACTTCAATTCCTCAAGCACTATGGCCTCTCAATGGGCTGACAGTCACCTGTGAGCAGCGACTCTTCCTTTTGGAAATCAGACAAGCAACATCCTTGTTTCCTGGACAGCACTGAGACTGAGACAGCTCAGAACCAGGGACCTCCAGGGCAGTACTGTGGAGCCCACCTTGGGAACCCAGGGAGGCCCTTCAGGACTCCTGCTCAGTGTGGGGCTGCTCCCAAGGGTGGGACTAGAAGAGAAGGCTACAAAGCCCTGCAGTCTGAGGTTAGGAGACAGCCGTACCAACGCAAGGATTCTACTATGAACACAAGAACTTCCCCCAAAGGCCTGAGGTCAGCAGTAAAATGCATGTGACAAAAGCCTAGACAAGTGCCGGCCAATCTCCACTCCTGATGCACAAGTGATCTGCCCTCCCTCACCTCACCTGCCTGAGAGGGAGAGGAAAGAGGACCCCCTAGGAGGAAAAGAACATCCATTTTCATTCTTGTTTTTTTTAAATACGTAATATCCAAAACACAATTTAAAAATTATGACATGTAAGAAGCAGAAAACACTGACTAATAAGCAGCATAAATAGAATCCATCCAAGCCAAGTGCAATGGTGCATGCCCATAATCCCAGTGCTCAGGAGGCTGAGCCAGAATTGAATTCTGAGCCCAGCCTGGCAAGAATGTTTCAAAATACCAGTGCAGGGGGGAAAGGTGGAGTAGGCAACCAACTCCACAAAGTGTGAGATTAGCACAAAAATAACTACTAAATTTGACCAAGAAAAATAAAATGCAAAAATGGAAAGAATATATTGACAACTAGAACTTTTAAAGAAATTAAAAGTCAGGCCAGAGATATAGCTCAGTGGCACAGCACCTGCCTGGCAAGTGTGAGGTCCTGAGGTCAATCTCCAGTATCAAAAAATGAGTAAGTAAATAAAAATCGGGGCCGGCGAGATAGCAAGATAGTTCAGTAGTCTAAAGTGCCTGCTTAGGCAAGCGCACAGGGACTGCAGTTTGATCCCCTGGCACCACATGCTATGTCAGCCCCGCCCCCAGGGTGGGCTGAGCCAGCCACACACACACGATTAAGTAAATAAATACATAAAAATCATGGTAAGTCAGGAGTATTCAGTTCAGTACTACTGTGGAATACTGGATAAGTTAGGCCTAACAACCAGGCACTAATCACATGAAAGCAGTCAATAAAAAAACCTGTCACATTACAATGATATTGGTGTATCCAGGTGTGGTGGCACACACCTAAAGCCCCAGCACTCAAGAAGCTGAAGCAGGAGGATCACAAGTTCAAAGCCAGCCAGGACTACAAAGTAAAATCAAGGCCTGAGTAAACTACACAGACACTTTCTCAAAAATAACAACAATATTGCTTTGGACTACTTAGTACAGACACAGAAGCTGGGCATGGTGGTGCACGCCTGTAATCCCAGAACTCGGAGGCGGAGCAGGAGGATCACTGCGAGCTTGCCTGAACTACAACGTAAGCACAAGGCCAGGCTGAAATGCATGGCAAGACCATCTCAAAAAGACAAAATAAATAAATAAATAAAATAAAAATATAGATAAATATAGACACAACTGAGATGTGTTATGTGAAAAAAAAAAGGAGTTGAAAAAGTACATTTATATATGACACAGAGTAGAAAACTGGAAGAATATAAATCCAATATTTAGAAGGCTTCCCTTTGAGTGATTGGAATTATGAGCTTAGCACTATTTTCTTCATAGAAAAAAAAATTGCCTTTTATACAATACTCAAGTCACTGAATAGAATGGATTTAAGGAGCAACCTAAATCAGCACAACAGTGCCCAAGTGGGAACTTCATTTAAATATCTTGCTGGCAGCAGATCAAAGTGTCTGCTTAGGCAGACACAGGGCACAGGGTTTGATCCTGGCTTGCCGTGCCAGCCCCATCTCTGGGGCGTACTAGGACTGTGACTGAGACTGGGCATGGTGATACGTGCCTATAATCCCAGCTCTTTGGGAGGCTGAAAAACAGGAGGATCACTAGGAGTCCAATCTGTGTAGTGAGACCCTATAGACCCTGAACTAAATACATTTTAAAAAAAAAAAAAAAAATCTTCCTGAGTGTGGTGGCACACCTATAATCCTAGCACCTGGGAGGCTGAGGCAGGAGGATCACTGTGAGTTCAAGGTCAGCCTGGGCAAGACCCTGTCTCAAAAGCAATAAAAAATTTTAAACATTTTTTTAAAACTTAAAGTACAATAAAAATCTGAAGGGCTATCAAAATCAAGGAGCACACAGACAACAAACACACTGAGAGGGAAATTATAGAAACAATACCTTTTACAATAGCACTGAGGAAAATGAAATACCTTGGAATTAACCTAACTAA